GTAAGGAAACTAGATCCTTTGCACCTCAGCTAGCTAGACTGACTCTTGAGCAGGGCTGCTATGGCCTCTGAGTAACTGTATGCTCATGCTGGGATATGGACAACTAACTCTTGTATATGCTTGGCATTCCCTACAGAGGCCATAATCCAGCTGATCCTCCATCTGTCACAGATGCACGCAACCTAGAAGCAAGGATTATCCATAACTGGGTGACGTCTGCTAGGATTGAGGGAGCCTGGGAGAAGATGTCTGCGGGTATATCACCATAAAGATATCCATCCGGCCACCAGCAGGAATGTTGTGCTGCTAGTGTGTGTACCAGAAAGCACGAGGGTGGCAGCCGTAGGAGCTACTTGTGCACGGACCATCTGACGAAAATGTCAGTTCAAATGGCTCTACCGCAGTGTCAAGCGTCCTGTGAGTCAGTCAAGTCTGTCAAAAGAAAACGCGTAGGCCAAATCCATTGACTGAAGGCAACAGCACTTTGCACTAGTCACATGCTTACCTGCATTGTATCAAAGATGTGATTGTAAGGAGAGAATAAAAGCTTGCCTGCAAGAGTTAGACCATTCCTCAGGAACTGGGTCATACTTCATGTACATGCTTTCCAGAATGGTAGAGGAAAGAATGTGCCCCTGCTGTGAGAGTGAGGTATGATTATTCACAGCCTACACCAATCTCCAGCGTTACACACAACCAGAGGACACATGTAGCTTATGTGCAGCTAGAAACAGTATGTCTTCAAAGAAATGCTTAAAAGGAGAAAGTTCTCTTGGGTGATTTGTGAAGAAGTAGAGGTAGGGTACTACTTATAATGATTAGTGAGTTGTAGGGAAAATAAATAAATATATAGGTGATTGGTCAGCTGTGGAGTAGAGACTAAAGTTTGGAGAGCACGTACCTTATTTAAGGTAATCCCAATGTGAACAGCTATTGTACAGGAAACATTAGCAGTGAATAAGTAGTCACATTTCCAATGATGACCCCTACGTTTATTTCAAAATAAATTACAAGTTTATTAAAGTATGTGATAGAATTCCACGGGCTGGCTTTTGAATATAACCAAAGAGGATACAAAAAGGATATTTTTCTCTCACCCTGAGAGGTGAAATAAATTCATCTTTGCACATTAACAAGTAGACTCTTACCTACTGCAAATACTGTGTACCAATAAATACTAGCAAGACTGAAAAAATATTACATCTTAGTAATTAATTATATGCCTTAAAGTAAAATGTATCACTTTACCATGATGGGGGGGGGAGGGAGGATCATCCCAGGCTCGTGTTACTGAGGTGGGTAAAGTACAGCACTTGTTCAGCTTCTTACCGTTGCTCAACTCAATGCTCAGTGTTGGTTAATATTTACACTGATGAATCTCTGCTTCCATCAGGCCTCAGGTGGTTCAGATAGATACTAGGGCCAGTCCTTGATGCTTTTTCACATGATTCAGAGCAGACCCTCCAGGCACTGGGAGTAAGTTTCCCACATAGAGCAAGGGTCACAGAGGTTAAAGCAGAAGCATTCCAGCAATTGGCAGGGTTCATAGTGCCCCATGAGAGGCGCGCTGAATGTCTCTACAGAGGAGAGCTGGGAAAGGAGTAAAGTCAACTCTCCCCCTCCCCCAATGGAATCCCCACCTCTAGCTCCCAAGATAAGCCAAGGCCAGGTGGCTGTCTCTCTTGGCAACCTTTTATCCTTGCTCTGCTACAGGAATTGCTTCTTGATTACACGGCCTTGCTAGCACTCCCAGCTCCTGGAAAGCAGGAACCACACAGAGACCATGCCCCTGATTAGGATCGGTCTTTGCCACATGATGCATTAACAAAGCAGCTAGGCGAGGTGCGAGCCACCTAGAAAGTACTCTAAGCTACAATCTTTGAACCAGTGGTGGCCAGTGGCCTGCTCTCTGCCCTTTGGGTGACTTCCAACTTTCCACTCTGAGAGGAGGCAAGAGTTCTTTTTAACCCTCTTGCACCTCATGAAAGATTCTAAAATATGAAACTTAACAAGGAAAGTAGTTCTGCAGATTAGATTTGTTCCTCTTTAGAGGATAACGCCTGAAAGTGGCTAAAAAAGGAACATCAGTGAAGTATAGAAGAAATAAAATAGTAAAGGCTTTTAGATGATAGAGTGTGGGGATAAGTTAGATATATAGCAAGACGGAGGCAGAATTCAGCTTTCATCTTGTCAGAAGTAGCTCCATCAAATGGTGGGGGGCAGGGGAAGTGTCATGCTTCATAATCTGTTGCAGATTTCTGTGGCAGACAAATCTGACCCAGTTCAGCACAGATTTCCTTTATGGTTTTTAAACCTTGGGTAAGAGGACAGGGTATATAGTGAAAAAATCTAGTTATCAAGTACATCCTACAAAGTGGCAACTGGGATAGTCACAGCTATTGCAAGCCCATCCACCATTTCCTGGAAAAAGTTTCAGAGTAACTGGCTAAGAAAGGAAAGAACTAGGAATGTTTTCGCAAGACATGAACTGACCAGCTGGTAAGAGGAGTAGACAGCTCCTCCCACTAACTCAGCCCAGCATGGTGGATTAAGACCTACAGCAGTGGCTTTGTTACCAAAAGCCTCATCACTCCACTGTATCATCACATACGACCATATGGAGCATAGGGGCAAGTTCCAGAAACAGTAAGAAATGCTGCCTCTGGTTACAGAATAGAATAGCTTAACCCAGGGCTTGAAAAATCCACACACAAGTCAGAAACTTTCCCTGGGCAGCATTAAAGTTTGTGTCATCACTTCCAACAGTACTTAAGATTTCATTTAAAAAAAACTGACGTTTTTAGTCCTTTGCAATCTGCCAATAACCTTCCAACAGTGAATAAATGCAGTATTTTCTTTGAGGCTGCAGCGTTTCTACTGCAGCTATGAGACTGCCAAGCAGCAATGTGAAACTAACTAGACTGGTCAGTTTCATTGCTGCTGTTCAGAATCCTGAGAGCAGCAAGGAAACTTGTCTTCCTTTCACTTTCAGGCTTCTTCTTGAGAAAGCTCACAGCAGGAGGAGTACTGTAGTCTCACAGGTGAAGAACCAAAAAAAAAAGGCTAGGACAGCCTACAGTAGCAGAAACTTGCCTTCTCAACCCCTCATGACGGAGGCACGAGGAGAACGGAAGGCAAAGCTTCTTTCCCTCCCAGCAGTTGGAGAGGATGAGTGGAGCTTCAGATTTAATCTGACTCTTAACAGGACCATATAAAATATGGAGGAGGCCCAAGAGATTCCAGGCACAGCACCTTGGTAGAAATCCCCATACTTAAAGGGTGGCAGTGGGGTTGGGCTTCTCAAATGGGGGTTTCACTTCTGCCCCATATCAATCTTTCATATCTACTTTGGGCTAATAGAGAGATTTTTCCAAGCCCTCATTTAAACTCTGGTACCTAAATGAGACCCCACTACTAGCCTCACCCTGTCAGTGTGCAGTACTTCATGGCTGTGACCATACACAACAAACCAAGCAGTATTTATTCCTCAGTGGAGGCAGGCCCAAGTCCGAATGAATAGTCTGAGTGTGTGCACTTTGTTTGTTTTGTTAGAATTAGGCAAGGCACTCAAGCTCTTGGAAAGTAACCAGGGCAGCTCGCGGCAAAAGCGTCTTTAACATCACTGGATTAAATTATGGCCTTTCCACAACAATCCATTATTTGAGTATGGGAAGTGATTCAGTACATGGAGATGCCAAGTAGATGGATTATATTCACTGCACTTAAGGCTTTGGTTCAAAGGACCATGCAGTACCTGAATGGAAACTTTCCAACCAAGAATGAGCACTGGTCCTATCATGCCTGGAAAGTAAGAGTATGTGCTGTGCCATCAAGGTGGAGTATTGTGCCTTTAAACTTCACAGACCAATCAGAGGCAAGAAAGTATCTTTGAGGAGGCACAAAAGCAGGTCATGACATAAGCAATTAAAGCTTCCTCTTCAGCAGTCAGAAAGGGAGCAATCAGATCGCCAATTGTCAGACTATTTACATGTTTCAGGCATAATAAATGATAGTTTCAAACTGACATTAGGTTTCTGTTCTACCCTGAGCAGAATGTTGACCAATATTAAACAAAACATTAAAAAAAGGTCAGATTTGACAAAAACCACCAGTTAGGGCAAGTTAATTTCCTAAGACAGCATGAAGTCAGAGAAGAAATAAATGAGACCAATAGTTTTGGAATAGAAATTTAGGATTGGGGAGGGGGGGGGGGAGGGGATAATAG